ACACACACACGCGCACACACAAAATTCCCAAAGGCGATACATTTATTGAATGCAAACACACTTTATACACATTTGTACAATACTGTACAAAGTTTAAAGAGCACCAGCGCGCACACACACGCCACCCACCAAACGCACACACACACAGAGTTTAGCTCATGTGTGGCTTTCAGACAGGCTCCTTCTGCACCTCTCTGCTCGCATTAACGTCTTTTGATTCAGAACAGGGGAGAACAAATCCATCTGAGATGTTTTTGTCGCATCTCGGGGCCAAACAAACCCAGACTCTGTCTCGTTATCTTTATATCTCCTTATGATTCACTTCTGCCTCCCTTTCTCGCTCTCCATTCTTCTGTTGTCTTCTTTGTCTCTCCCTCCCACTGGATTATTTTGTTCTTTAGACGCCTTGGCACGTCTTCAAGGGACTTCATAAGACATTCAAGTGACTGGCCGCCTCTAGAAAAGCCTGAAGTATTTCTTTTCTTTTTTCCCTCTGCCCTTTTCCCCACCTTCCTACTCTGTTCATCGTTCATTTCATTGCCTTTTCTTCCCTCCTGATGTTTGGATGACTTTTATTTGTTCAGCTACCATTGTAAAAGCTGTTTCAAGTGTGGCTGTAGCCGATAGGTGAATCTTCTGAAATCCTCTTTAATTACTTGGATGATGAACAAAAGAACACTGCTTCAGTTACTGCTTAAGGCAGTAACTGAAAGGGTACAATAATCCAGACACGTAGAGGGCTTCATTCCTGAACATAATTCAAGGATATTAAATGGTATCTGTCTGACATCATTTGAATTTAACGGTTTAATGCAAATGGCACTTTAGCACTTACTGTACAAGCCCCTGCAATGGCATTTGTAGGTGTGTAATATAAAAATGTTTGGAGGCATTTTTTTGTATCATTATATCCAACAGTAGGCACTACATTTTGCGTATTAACCCAGCTGAGAGTGTGCCAGACAAGAACCAATCACAGAGAAGCTCACAACACAGCAATATTGACACAAGCTGCCCACAGGAATCACAATAAGGTGATAAAGAAAAGAAACCACTAAAAATGAAAGAGCAGCAAATCTGTGTCAGAGTGTGTCTGCGATCGCTTTATTTTCAGTTTTAATAAAGTGTCAGTTCATTTTATTACAAAATAGCAACTCTTTTGTTGGCTGTTATTTTCTCCGTGTTCTTTACTGTAAATTAAGTATCACTCTTTTATAAATTAAGTATCACTCGAATGAGTGATACTCATTCGAGTGATACTCGAATGAGTATCATACTCAATTAACTATAATGAGAATAGTGGGTTTGGACAGAAAGGCTTGTATATTGCGTTAATACTCATTCAAACTGAACAGTTTAAACTCATTAATTTAATAAGCTCCACAACAAAAGCTCACCAAGTAGTAACACTGCTAATTAAGTAACATGTTTTTGTTTCCCTATCAATCATGCACCACTCCTAATGCCAAAGTCCTGAGTCATCTTTTTCCAGCTAAACTGAAACGTACGAGGTTTTAATGAAAATTATCTTGTCCAAGAGAAATAATCAAATGATATATGTTAGAGTAAGCAGCTTTTTATTCTGGATATTCCTAATCCAGATTTGTGAAAACAATGATGGAACTTTTGCCGTGAGGACTCCCCAGCTTTGGAATTCCTGGTTAGGAAAGCCAGCGTTGATTTTCCTGTTTTGGGGGTATATATATATATATTTGTAAAAATGTTTTTTAAAATCATTTATTTCATAATATTATTGAAAATATGCACACACTCTTGTCTTCAGTTTTACTCTGCAAAGCACCAAGTAGCTGCAAGTCAAGTTATTATCATCAAGTACATAGAGAAGCATAACTCCATATGGAAGTATTGTGCATCTAAGTGTGTGTGAGAGTGTGTGTGTGTTGCACGAGTTTGGCTTGGCAGACAGGTCTCCTGAACCACTAATATTGTCTGCAGGCTTGTAAGTACCATGGCTTCTTCACCAGACTTGTTAACACCCTGACCAAACCTGAACCAAAACACGACCCCGTCCCCATGCCCAGAACCCCCGAGACCATACGGCTTCAAACCCCATAGTGCAGAGACGGGCCTGACCGCTAACCTCCACTGCTGACACACAACATTCGCGCACACACGCGTCACACACACCAAGTTATGAGAAATAACCACCGTGTTACGCCACAGCAAGACACAGTATGTGTAATGCCACAATGGTTTTTGTCACCCTCTGTGCTTGTCTGTCATCAATTAACTATAATGAGAATAGTGGGTTTGGACAGAAAGGCTTGTATATTGCGTTAATACGGCTCGGCTATTATCACTCAGGAAGTTTGTCTCAGCTGGCCACAGCCACCGTCAGGAGCAGCTGAAAGGAGACAGAACCACCTATAAAAGCATATTGGTTTAAACAACCACTCCCTGTCTATTAGCTCAAAATGACATTTAATGAGACCTATTAGCTCTGCTCCAAATCAGCACTGTGGCTACACTAGACTAATGACACCAATAACACACATTCTGCAAACCATGTCATGTGGGGGCACACCAGCAGACACAGGCGCTGCGAGAAACGCACGTGAGCAAACGGATACGCACATCTGCATGTGAGAGCACACACGGGCGCATGTATACACACAGTCGATGAGTCGTCTGTGCGGTGGCAAACCACAGGTTAACCAAGAGCTGTCAAGCGATTAAGCACAATACGAGCCACAAAAACCAAGTTAGCCTCCCGCTAATGACACAGTGGCCAGAGGGACCTGACTAACCACTTACCATACACACACACACACACACACACACACACAGTAAACCTCTGAGGAAAATTATACCACAGATCTTTATACTTGGGCCTCGCTGATTTTCGTCACCGACCACGCAATTAATTAACTAAGGCTCGGGTCCACAGTTCAGAGATGTGTGCCTTACTGAGTCACAGGGGTGGTCCTACTGATATTAGACAAGGGAGCGCTGGGAAAATGACATCCCTCAGGAAGACTCATATGGCTACCATAAGGAGCATCAAACAAGTTAACACAAAATCTACTTCCTGAATGAGACACCCACAACCAGGCAAGCAATTATACGGTTAGAAAAAAAGTTAACAGAAGCATAAAGAATATTTGTACATTTGAACTTTTATGTCAGGAACCAGCTGAAATCTTCTGCTATTGTCAACTTATTTTCCAGGAGGAAAACAAACAAACAAAAAATGCCCACAGTGTTTTCAGAGAGGAGGGCCACAAAGGGCTAGTGTATGTCAACTTTAAGATAGCCTCCTGTTCCATCTCTGAGTGCAACCCTCCCTGGTGGGGCCTGGCTATACCACAGGCCTCCTAATTATCCACTCGTTTAACACAAAATAGAGCCGTAATGGCCAACAAAGCCCCCCCATACCCCCTCCCAGCGTCTCAATGAAGCGTTCACAGATAGAATCACAGTTTTGGAGACAGTCACTGCTCTCAGCTCAGAGTCTCTGTGCTGAAAACCTGGAGGAGGGGGAGGCTCTGTGGAGAGGGCACATGTGTGTTTTGCCACCCTCCGACCTCGACTTAATGACCCCTGAGAGGGAGACGTGTTCTGGCTGTAGTTTCTGGGTAAATTACACCACCACTGTAATTCTGACCACTTAGCAGCAAAGGAAAGAAGTTCAGGGGTTATGCATGATGACATAGTCTTTATTGCTTAAATTACTGTCCTGAGACTGAAGTTGGAACATGCAAACTCTAGCTTTATGTTTTTTTACTCAGGCTAAATAGAAGAAAAAACAGTGCCTGTGAGAGTGAAGTCTTGTGCCAGTGTACCCTCACCTGATCAGGTCTCTAGCTTAAAGACTCGCTTCTCGTGTGTTCAGGCTTCTGGACACAAATCTAAGACGGCAGCTCTGCTGAGGCCGCACCGAGCTTTTCTAAACAAATTCACTTCCGACTCCCATCTGCTCGCCACCAAATAACAGGACTTGTTTGAAAGTCATCTGGGGGGGTGGGACAGCAGATGCACAGGAAATGCTTTTGATCAAACAAGATGGCTCGAGAGCGAGAACGGATGGTGGGGAAAAGTGGGCGTGAGCGTGAGTACATGTGCGTTTGAGGACAAGCATATGCCTTTGTTTCAGGGCGCATGTTGATGAGCGCTGAATGTCGAGTGTGTGAGGCATTTTTTGGCACCACAGGCAGGTTTCCTACAACGAGAGACTGATGGTGGTACTAATCCTAGTGTCTCCTGGCTCCTCTGTGTCTCTGTGTGTCCTGGTGCCATATGTGACAGGACAGGCGGGGTGAGTTGTTTGCGATGTGATATTGTTCATTGAGACGCCATGAGATGAGAATATGCTTTTTTTTTTTATGAATAGGGAGGAGGGTTGTGGAAACAGCTGCATGCCAGACCAGTTGGCACTGTTGGCTATAGTAAAGTTTTTTTTTCCCTCCTCAGTTGTTTTTATATGGCCCATTAAAATGAGCTGATGCTAGCACTCTGCTACCCCGCGTACCCTCTGAGGAATACGTTGCCTCACACTTTATTTCTCTTCTGTCTCTCAAAGTGTCACATGGGAGGCTAGACTGCTTTGTGAGAAGTCTTTAAGTGATTGCTAATTAACACAATTTAGAACCTTTTCCTGTAAACCTTTTCTTTTTGGTTAATTTCCTCGTTTTATTAGTCTCATCATTTAAGCCGGACGTTCGACTCGGTTTGCTGGCTGGACACATAGCTCAGTTAAAGGGCACTCCACTGAGTTTGCATATCAAGAATAGGTGAAGAACTATGTAAAAGTTGAGAAGTATTTTCCACAGTTAGCTCCCTGATATTATCATCATCACATATATGAGCTAGAATCTGATCCCACATAACACAGTGGAGGTGCAGGATTTATTCTAATGAAAAAGTAGAATCCCATATTTGAAAGCTTGCAAATTGGCAAATTGAAAGAAGACTTAGGATGCTTCCTTGTGTGTGTGCACTTATTTTCATACTGTACTGCTTGTGCGTGCATTGGTACTCACTCCTGGGCTCACGAGGTCCGTCCACGGTGACCTTTATGGCTCGGTGGTAAGTGGCCACTTGTGGCGGGTTGGTGAATACTGTGATTGTCAGAGTGAAGCTCTTGCCTGTAGTGACATCAAGCAACATCAAATGACAATTGAGACAATGGCTAGTATTCATCTCTACAACATCCCCAAGTCACAAGTGTGGTTGTGATCACATAATAGCCAATACAAACTGGGGAAGAAACGACTTCGAGAGGATTAACAACAGACAACATTGGCTGTTTGAGAGGGTCTATTTAGGTCCTTTGGCAGAGTCTAAATGGAAGACTGACTGCAGGAGCCAGTATCGTGTTATCCAGAATTTATAATGCTCTGTGAGTGGGCGAGAGGCATTTTAATAGTCACTTCCTTTCTCGATAATCCCCAGCAGTTGCTGCCTTGGGGTTGAGTGTTTGTCTGTGCAAGTGTATGCGTCCCTATGTGCATGGATGAGGAATGCTATGAATCAGAGTCCAACAGCCAAGTCAGCAGGAACAGTAATATCTGAGGTATGCAGACGCAATGAGTAACCATGGCTACACGTTGGAAACAGGAAGCGGGGGTAGCAACTCATCCGAGCCCCTGTCTATTCATCCATACACCTGTGTGTGCCATCCCCTCTTCCGTTCTGAGCCCCAGCTAAGTGTAAACATGCTTTTCAAAGATCAGATAGCAGTCAGACAGAGGAGATGCAACAGGCGTCCCTCATACCTGTTTCAAGGTGCATGTGGGTGTTCCCGACCAAGAACCCCAGAGGGTTACTTCAACGATATCAGGTGTGGTATTTGGAAAGATTAGCTCTATGATTGCAATCAATTAATGACTTAAGTGGTTGTGAACAAGTTTCAACATAAAAATTGACCACAATTCATGGATAAACTGTAGAAAATAGCAACTAAAAGGAATTTCTAAATAACTGGAACACATAAACTAATGCTAGCTAGGGTTAAGAGTTGAAATTATTAGCTGACAGTAAGGATAAACAAATGATATCACTAGCTCAACACAGTGGATACTAAGGATGCACCGGTACATCACCAAAATACTGGTACAGACCTTTGACTTTGTTGATATATTGTTACATATAAATAAAGTGACACATACTGATGATCTATGATACAGTGGGGCATCTTGTGCATTGTGTTCCTGCTTCACTGCTGTTAAAGCTGCTGTCATCTCTTAATTGTGATCCTGTTCGTGCTTCCTGTCAAGGTAAGGTTGTACGCTATGACACTATTAATTTTAATGATGTTATCAGCGATATCTGAGACCTCTGAACTAGTCGTCCTGTGCATCTGTGCTATCATCATACAGAGGCACCACGTCAGCCCTGTAACCATCAATCCTTGTGCATCTTTGTTCTCTCTCTCTTATTCTCCCGTGCATGACTTTCAGCTATCTAACATCCTATCAGTTCACTTCGCTTGTACTTATCTGTCATTGCAGGGTATTCATTTCAGACACCTCGTAGTCTGATCTCCCCTGGCTCCTATGTCACTTCCTGTTACTAGATTCTTTGTTACAGCAAAGGGACGCACGCAAGGTCTCTGTGGCAACAGGTCAAACCCAAATGCCTCGTTGTCTCCTCTTAAAACTCTGTCACTCCTCGGCCCTCCTGACTGCTCTGCTCCCTCCCCTTTTTGACAGCTACAACAGAGAAGGAAACCGGGAGGAAAAGTTGCTGGTGGAGCTGCTGACAGCACTTATCACCATCAACTTACGACAGGCGACTGGTTTTCTGTGAGATTTGTACAAAAAATAAAATAGTTACAGAAAGCACGGCGAGTGCAAGAGCACATCAGGAGACCCAAATGTACATGATTTACCGACATGACAGTAAATGATGCAAATAGTCACTTTCGTGATGCCAAACATTTGAAGAATGCCATTGGACTTAATAGGCACGCTTCTCTGCCTGACAGCGTGAAGATATGCGCAGAGAGTGATCAGCCGTAGAGCTGCAGCACCACCCAACATGTTTATGAGCCTGAACTGAGCTGGGTCATATCAGGTGAAAAGGAAGAAAAAAAAAGCCTTTGAGTTTGATAAGTATTTCTTGTTATCAGATTCTCGCTTTTTAATGTGGCTGACACTGGAGAGCTGCGCATTTCTATCTTTGCACAGTTTGTTTCTCAATCTAAAAATCACAAGTACGAAAAAGCAACTCGTCTGGATTAAAGGATAGAAAAACATATCGAGAAGTATCGTTTCAAGGGAAAGAAAGGGGGGAGCAACACGCTTCACCACTCGGGCTCTGCGAGATGGGTGGTGGGATTTGAGTCTGGAGTCAGAGAGATCATTATGTGGTTGCCACGTAGTGAATGTGGCCACTAATCCACACCACTGAACCTAATAGCTACTACTGTGTTGTAGTGAAAGGAGCACAGAGAAAGTTCCAGGCCTCACCTCTGCCGCTGCGGCCCACAAAACGGAGGTCATTGAAACGTGCTACTTGGTTCTTCATCACACCTGAGGCGTTCCGCAGCTCAGCGGAGTAGTTCTCATCGTTGCCCGCCATTACGGTGACAACGGTCCCATCAGGTATATCTCCCAGGGCTACCACCTGTTAGAAGCACAAAAGTTCTCCTTTCAAAATTTCAATCTGAAGTAAGCTACATTATATCCCACTGCTCCTGTGGGGGGAAAGATTTTACTTTAAATATCAGAAGCTGTGGGAAAACAAAAACATTATCGTCTTCTCAGTTTTGACTATTCAAAGCTTGTCTAGACTCATCATTTTACATCCTGCCATCCTCCTACAAATTAGGTTGATAAATGGATTTAATTTTAATGCCTCGAAGCAGCCTGATATCATGATGAATGTCCTCAGTTGAATCATGTAAAATGCAGTCTTTCAAAACAAAAGCGCCAAGGCCTCGTGTTATCATTTAGATTCTTGGATGCAGATGAAAGAGGATAAGTAAGGCCACAGAAGTGGAATAATTACAGAGCTGTAGTTATAAGAACGGTTAAATAACACTTATATTTAAAAAGTGTCACATTTGATTTGGAGCCATGGCTGTAGCTACAAATTTCCACTTGAGAGTGTCTTTGATCTGCCGTTTAAATAATACCTGTCAAGTAATTAACAGAGGCTTTTCTTTGCAATATCATGCAAGCCAAAAACAGAGAAAAAAAGGAACAAAAATAGGCCAAATACACAAAAGCATTATTCTTTGGAGCATTAGAAATATATTTTTCTGATTCGGAGTATTAAAAGCTTGAGGAAAATGAAAATGTACAGACTAACTAAATGTAGACAACATGCTGTAATGTTTATTAAATAATTTTCACATTTGATGCAAATTGTCAAAAAGAGAAATATCCAATACAATGAAGTCTTTGTTGCTTATTTCACTGGATGGGAAGTTGCTTTAAAAGGCTTGTGTATTGTATTAAACTAATTCACAACATTTTCTGATTCTCGGAAATAAATATTATAATGATTTATTTTAAACGCAAGATGAAAACAATATGCACATGTGGCTCCTTTCTTCCAGACGCTGACTCATTTTCCTACAATTAAAACCGTCAGACTAATGCCCTTAAACTTCAATCATATTTTTTTTTTTATGCATTTCCTGACTATAATTTATTTTTAATGTCACAGTAATAACTTCCGGATTCTGCATGTTTACATTAATAGCCATTAAGGCTTGGAAACTCAAAGAAAAAGCTTAAGAGATAAAGAGGTAAATAATCGAGTGAGAGAAGGTTTTTAAAAATCTGAACTTCTCCTCATCTAACGTTGTTAAAATGTCTTCAGAGAAAGATGACGCGTTTATTGTTGTTCAAAATCAGCTTTGGGCTTCATTTAGTAGTTTTTTTTTCTTGCAGTGAGCCATGATAGCCATCAAAAGTCGCTTTATTCGTTCAGCAGCGCAGCGCTGAGTCGGGACTCACCTTAAAAGCGACGGGTAGAGTCTTGTTGCACCGCCAGTGGGAGGGCAGGACCGAGCAGAGAAAGTTGGGGCTGTCGGTCCTCACTAGCTCGGCCGGGTGGTCCGCGATGATCTCGGCCATACTGCGGTTTTCGTGGGGGCGCAGTCTTGGCACCGCCGCCGCTGCGTCCGGCTGCCCGGCTGGAGAGCTCACATCGTTCATCTTTCCTGGGACCGGCTGGAGGCTACTGGACGGCGGACTGAACCTCCGACTGGCGCTGGGATCTACGGGAATTCGCATCACAACAGCGTGGATTATCAGAAAAGGCACCAAAGGCTCTCCGGCTGCTCTCTTTCTTTCTCTCTCTCACACAGGGAGAAACTCAGGAGCGTGCGCCGCTGCTCGCTGAACCTCAGCGCGCCTGCCAATGGAAAATGGGACTCGAGTGAGCGCACACCGCGTTTCAAAACCCTCTCCACTACAAACTTTAGTGGTCGCCTTCAAACGACATAAAATAGACTTCTCCAGCAAGAAAAACAACCCTTAAAAAAAGTTGATGATGCTTTAAATGACAAGTTCTTTTTTTTCTTTCTTTCTTTTTCAAACTCCTCGGTGGAAGAGTCCATGTGCCATAACGCTGGCGTAGTTGCTCATGTGCGGATATAAATAACATCAAATAAATGTCCGAGCTCGTAATAGGCTATACAATTACAAAAAAAGCACGTCTAAAATGGAACAGCAGACCCAGATGCTCAAAAAAAGAAAAGTTTTTTGTCTGTCTCCCTTTAGTGAAAAGTCAAAGCGCAGCTCCAGGTGCGTCATTGAAGTCTTTGTGCCAAACTGAAAGGCTTTCTGAAAGTCCGCAGGCTATGTACACACAAAAAACCTTTCAAAGTCAAAGGGATAAGCTTTAACAATACTTTACAGGGCTATTTACAATCCCGCGACGCCTGCAAATTCAACATATTTTCTGTTAAGTCTTCCGGCCGTGCCGCTGATTTTGTGTAGGGTTAAAAAAAAAAAAAAAAAAAGGTTTAAAGACGTTTGAAGAGAAAAAAAAACTATCGCCGGTGAGATGAAGGAGGCGGAAAAACGAATCCCGGTTTTGTAGCCGTAAATGCGGTTAGTGTTTGGAGGCCGGGGTTTCCCGTGCTCAGGCTTTTTGTGGTTTATATAGCTCGAGCGCCCAGCAATTATTGCGCTGATGCGACTCCAACACGTGGTGTCTGGAGTCAGATGCATTCCCTCCGCCATAATCTATCACGCCTATATAGACTGCCGGACACATCTCCCTGTAAATGGCCATAACTTCATGAAAGACACGTGGAGCTGCGTTTCACGCCTGTCTCTTACCCACATTTCAAAGTTTGCTCACAGCCTATACCGTACGTACCGACATGTTACCGCTCCCCTGGACCATCAGCGCGCTCCTAACAGCGGAGGTGCTCATTTTCAGTCAGCAACGCGCGCATCAGTCCATCAGACCGTGTAGTGTTACCGCCGTGTCCTGACCGTAAACGGCTCACAGACGCGTTCAGAGAGAGCCGAGCCGCGGCGAGAAGCGAGTTACACTCCATAAGGTATAGGAGTGAGTGAGTGAGTCACCGGAGAGCGGTGAGTCAGGTAGAGGCGCAGGGGTAGAGTTTCACTCGGTCACAGGGGAGAGCTGTTGTGCAGGTGTACAGGTATTCTACTTTACAGGGGCTTTAATTTATGTTTATCCATCCACGTGGCCGCCCTGTGAACCGACTGTGCGTTTGGGAAAGGCATTTATGGAAAATCCAACTTCAACAGTTTCTGTGCCTCATACAACTTGTTAAATCTATTACACGGTCGTTTTATTACACATAGACCGAAAATAAACGATCTATCTATATAAGCAGCACCAAAACGAGACTCCTTGCGTAATTACGCACAACTTAAAATGTATTTGCATATTTCAAAACGAGATCACATACCGAGTAGTCCATTTGACGCAGCTTTTATTTCCTACTTTGACACACTTATTGTACTTTACTACAACACTACATTATTTAACCCGTTTTCTTATTTAATTGCAGAATGTGTGAGACACACAAACGCCGAACGGCTGTAAATTTAGCCAACAGTGTATCAAATTGTAAAAACCAGCTCAATGTCAGCCAACAGCAAAACACTGCTTACACATGTATGCATCCTTAAAGATAACCCGGTAATTTACAACAGAGGAACTCTCACAGGAGCCACTTTTCAGCTTTAGAAATGCTGAAACCTTCAGTTGATTTTTCGGCACTTGTGGTTTTTATTTTCGCAGCTGCTGTTTACATTGAAACTCAGAAAATGAATGAAAATAATTCTCAAGAATATTTAACACAACAAAAATAGTAGATCTGCAACTCATGACATAAAAATCATGCATTTTTTAAAGCCTTATTTTTTTTAAAAAAAAACAAAAAGTGCTACATACATCCTTACATCATAACAAAACAGAACAAATAAATTAAAATAAATAAAAATCACACTTTAACTTTTATGGCTGACATACTCTTTATGCCTGCTGCACTGAAAACAGTGAGAGGGCCTACTTAGCTTGTCCCTCTTGTGTCTACTGTAGAGGGCATCATTTACCCTCTGTGAGCCTCTATATCTCAGCCGGCACTCATCACCCACCCCACCCCACCCTCAGCCCTGATTACCCATCGGTCTCCCAATGAGACTTTTCTGGATGCCACATCACACATCAGCATGTGTACTGCCACTCTGTGTTCCATTTCCATTGCTCCCAAACAGGCTTTTATTGCAGTGAGTCTTTAAGACAAAGAGCTTTGATACTCCAGGCCTGTTTCAAAATAAATGGGACAAGTGGGAGGCACAGCTGTTGGGTTATTTGGATCCAGTCAGAGCCTTTGTAGCTTGTTTTTATGTTGTAAAGTTAGATGCAGTTTTATATACTTTGCTAAAGATTGCAGTGTTGTAAGAGAAATAATGTAATTCACCGTACACTACAGCCCGAGCGCTTGAAATAAGTCAAGTTCTTAAGTTTCACAAGCAAGTATGTGTGCACATATACATGTCTATTAAGTTGTGTGTGAGTGTGAGGATGTGGGAGGAATATATATATAATGTCTGAAAGCACTGACACGCATCTGGCACCTCGTCATGTGGACGGAGGAGGGGGGGCGAGTGATTGAGTTACGCTTCCCTTCTGTGTGCCCCAAACACCAGAAATATGGTTCACATTGTCCAACATTCTCAAAGATCATCTAACAATTCATGGATGGATAAATGTGAATAGTAGTAATTAAATCTGTAATAGTGATAAACATGGACTTGCAGGAACCATGGAGCCGGTTATCCCAACAGAGTTAAGTTTCAGCTCTGATAATATCGCTTTTTTATCGTTGAGTAAATGTAGAGTAATGTGGAAAACACCCTTAATGTTGTAGTGGAATCTAGTTTAGGAAATTTAAAGGAGGGGGGAGGCAATTTCATGCCATCAGCCAAATCAGCCTCCTGACTTAAATTTGAAGTGGAACTGTCAATGTGCACGTTCTATGAATAACAGACCCTTTAATGAGAACATTACACAAACTCACCAACTTTTCTAAGTCAAACTAATCATGCCTAAATTTAGATTTGCTGCACTCTGTTATTGTCCCATCAGAGGCAACGTAATTTTCCCGGCCCAACCCCAGGGCCCCAAACAGCCCCCCCCCCCCCCCCCCCCCCCCCCCTCCCTACCTAGCCGTGCTTTAAACTCTGACAAGCTCAGCTCATCAAAGAGTGTTTGTCCCATCTGACTCCGCTTTGCTTCTCCGCTGCACATCCAGCATCTGTCTTCCAGCTCCCTACAGGATACGGTCCACACTCATACAGCGCGAGGGCTTTTTACCGTCTGGCTCTCTGTCATTCAGAGGTATTGGGCAAACTCTGCACAAGTTCAAAACGTTTGATGTTCCAGAGATGTGACGGAAAGAAGGCGTTAATGTGCCAGAATAATCCGTTCAATAAAAAAAGAACATGCCATGCCTACCAAAATAACATTTTAGGAACCCGACAACTTTTGATTAAATGCGAATGCTGGAAGGTTTCGGGCAGAATTGGCCTTTTAAGGATACTCCGCTGATCCTCCTCAGCATAAACTGATTTCATATGATGTAGTAATGAATCTAGCATAAAGCCGTTTAGCTTTTCAGTGGTTCTGCTGCTTGCCTGGTGCACAGCTGGATCGTCTCTCTCAGCTCTGGTATTATTCATCTACTGTGTTACACTGGCTTGGAGTCACTGCACAGTAGGAGAAGTCACTAACAGTGAGGAACCACAGTATAGCACATCGAGCAGGATGTGCGTTTTATGATTTATGGTAATATTGTATTTCGGCAGCTCAGTTTCAATTATTTGTTTTCAATAAAAATCAAACTTAGCTGACATTCTCTTGACTAATTTTCCTGTCGAGATATCAAGCGAGTAATAAAAGTTTCTGTTCTCGTTCCCACTTGGAATGACAAAGAGTGTGTGAACCGCTAATATGTGCACACATCCACCGCCTATAATGTTGTCAGCAAACGAACTGCGCAAAAGCTTCTCCCGGCGCGTCTGTGACCTTCACATCTCCCTCGCTGTTTGACATTCAAAGGGACGCATTCAGACACGTACTTACGAGGCGCGCGTATCCTCGCTGTGAACAACACCTCATTAAGGAAGATGACAAGACACGGGGCTCAGTGTTTCAGCTAGAAATGTGTGTAAACTTTCCAGTTTAAGCAGGAAACAACCAACTATGAAAATACGCTCACTTTTAGCTTTCTTAGAAAAATAATTTGTAACATTACGGTCATATAGCCTCACTCTTTCGCTTCTTCATAAGCATATACTGTACTCTCATCCAAGAGGAAAAGCACAGCCACTTAAGACTCGGGATTAAGACTCCATTTCACAGTGCTGCATTTTTCAAGACACTTAATTATAGCCTTCTAGAGGAGCGCAGTGACGAGGCCCAGGCTTTTTCAGCTCTAACGGGATGTTTCCATGTTTGGCAGGCCACCAGCCAAATGGCCTGCCAGCAAGCCAATCAGAGAGCCCACCAGGCTCTGCAACAAAGCAGCCAGAGATCCAGCGCACGATCCAATCGACCAAACCGACCCGGAGAACAGGCATGTAGCTGCAGAACCAACTAAACTAGTGGGCCGGTTAGTTAGCCAGCAGAGGAGGATGACGACGGACAGAAACTTTGTTCCTTGTGACCTCATCGACACAACCTCAGCGACTCACATCCCAGCGCTGATCCCAGATCATAGCTAAGCCC